ACTGAAAAGTAACGTTTGCCAACCCTAATTATATCATTATGGAAATTTGAAAGAAAAAAATTACGTATTAATACATAGTTATTGTTTGTCTATGATTCTATAACATATAATACTTCGCAGAAAGTTGTAGGCTTAACATATAATGATAGATTACATGAATATTTCATTAAGATGTACGATTTATAACGCATCTTAATGAAATATATGTATTAAAAGACATTTTTATATAGTATCTTACCACATGTGCTCAAGCTGATGGTGATGAAAAGTATGTATCTATTTATAGCAATGTCTTTTACTGCCACTTGCATTTAACAAATTAACTCCAATTTTTCTATGTAAAATTGATGTTTACACATAACATCTTTTTACAATTTTTTAAAGTAAATTTTTTATTTACTATGTGTAGGAAAAAAGTACTGTTAAAATATATTGTAAAGAAATAGCTGGATTGTAAACATATACAGTCTGTCGTACAAGTTTATATGAGCTTTTATTATGATAAGATTACTCATATTATCATTTTAAATTTTATATTAAAAGTTTTCATCAAAACTTTTCATATTGTGTTTCAAGAGATCATTGAATATATTCTCATTCTATAATTTAATATAAAATCTTAACATATAATAATATTGTAGTTGTTATTGTTCTGCTATTGGAACTACTATAACTGAAGGCACAAAAAAGCATTAAGTGATAATAATAGAGATTTGGTCTAGTATGCACTTGTATCACAGACAGTATGTATTTGTGCCATCCATAAATCCTATATAAATATTTAAGCTGCCAAAAATATACATGCGTTAAGATACATTTTTATACTCTTGCATTTAATTGATCATTTATAAATATATGCTACAGCGTTTTCTACTAAATGCGTAGTTCTCAGAAAATGTTAGTATAACAATCAAGTGTTGTGACTGAATTAATGCATTTTTCGAAATTGAAATAATTTTGTATATAGATTATTTGCATACCTATTTTTAATTATTATTTGTGGGAGAAAATTGTATAAATATTTAGTATTAATGTTGATTTTAAGAAGAAATTTTTAACAATTCTTACATACTTTGATATCGAACAAATATATAATGATCACTTTAAAACGCATTGTGCATGCAATGATATGAAAAATACGGAATAATATTTAAATAAATCTCCCTTGAAAAAAATAATAAAATATAAAAAATGACTATAAAAAGTTAATTTGCTGTCTATATAATTAGATATCGATTTTTTCTCTTTTATATAATCATTTTCTCGCATTTGTGTTAATATATCCCGGTAAAAAATTTTTCATGCATAAATATGTATAAATATGCAAAAAAATACATAAACACGTATAAATATTCATAAACATATATAATTATACATGAAATATGTCCATACATGTTCATACATCACTTTTTCTTTTGTAAAATTAGTGTAATAAAATTTTTTAGTGTAATAAAAATAATAATGATGCGAAAACATAAAACATAATTAAAGGAATAATTTTTGCATTGTCAGTTTTAGAAAAAAATCAAGTTTGAAATGTAAATAAAAAATTGCTCATACACAATTATATGTATAATTTTATATATAATTTTATATAAGCAATTATTTCACATTTCTCCAAACTTGATTTTTTTAAAAACAAATGGGGGAAATTATCCTTTAAATTATTTTTAGTATTTTCACATTATTATTTCTGTTACACTAAAAAGTAATTTTACGAAAAAAAAGGAAGATGCATGAGCATGTATGGATATATTTCATATATAATTATGTATGTTCATGAATATATATTCACGTTTATGTATGTTTATACATATTTATGCATATTCATACATGAAACATTTTTTGCCAGGTGCCTATATAACACAGATATAATTTTAAAATTAGTAAACGTAACGTTAATATTAATTGTGAAAAATGTATTCAAAATATGAATGAAAATACTTGAAATGAATGGAGATCGTATATATTTATATGTAACAATGTAATACGGTCAAGAATATTATGGACGAGTAATCTTTATAAGTACTTTTAACATTGCCTACTTTTTAGATATATCGTTTTTTATACCAGTGTTGTATTAAAAATGAAATTAAGACTGATGAGCATGACAGTGATTTATGAATTATACTGTATCCATCCAGTCAAATGGTTGCCATGTTTCATACGTATGTATACATGCATACAATATCAATAAGTAGAACAATATTATGAAACCTACACACAGAAAAATATGCAATAATTACATATTTCAGAAATTCATATATTCGCAAATCTATCATAAGTTCATCACAAGCTTTAAATTTATTCAAAATATATTCTGAATAGTAATTTTAATAATTCAATCAAGTTTATTAAATTAAAATAAATTTGATTTGCTTATTATGAAAAATTCGTTTCTTCGGTCAATTTTATAATATTTTTCAAAAGAAAATTAATTCTTGCTTTTTAAGTACATAATGAGTTTTTCTAAAATTTTGTAATAAGCATATTTTGAGATTATTATAAAAAAAATTCTTTATTAAGCTGTTACTTAAAAGAAAGAAAATTAAGTAATCACTTTTCTTAGTAATAGAATGATATTTTTCTGCGTGTACGTAATAATGTTTGGACATTGTATAAATTTTAATTATATGTATAATTCATGTGCCTTATGGATATAAAAGTATATGTAAGATCATAATGGAGCAAAGAAATATGTAAAGAAATCACATTTTATATATCTATTTTAAAGACAATTATTAAATGACGTCTTTACATCAAAGCTCTATTGTGATTAATACTTTGCTCCACTTGTTCTACTTAATCGTATCATATTTATTCTAATACTCGGAACAGAAGATTCGAGAAAGATTTAGCAAATGCCGATACCATAGTTACATAAGAAATCGTATTACCTGTTATCGCTAGGATCTTTTTGTATCGATTCTTTTTTATTACTATTTTTTATGTATTACAATCTTTTTGACTCTCTTAACTCTCTCCATTAGTATCGTGAGATAAAACATGATCGAATCTTACGGAATTATTTCGCTTACAAAAAGTTGAACTTTTTAGTTGATCTCATAAATATTTTTCTTATTTCGTACATAAATATAGAGAATAATAATTACATCTTACAACTAGTAAGAATTTTATATATATATATACATGGGACTGTGTGCATTTATATATATATATGTATCTTTTTCTATAAATTACAGTCAAGCATCTGACTGTAATCATATCTAGTTCGAACATCCAGCGTATAAATTAACTGTAATAGATCAAGTTTATTTTAAAAAAATTTATTTTATTCTCATATATTTTGATTAATTAAAAAAAATAAATTGTGATTATTATAATGTATTATCGCTAGGATGTTTCGTTTTTCTTATTAAAGGCTAGTTTGCATAATGTCCTGTAAGGAAAATTTTACTCGATATAATATAGTATACTTAAAGTATACTATATATTTCGAATAAAATTTTCCTCGGAGTATATGTTATAGACTGTATGCAATGATAAAAAATTAAGTACGAATCTGTTAATCTAGTAAGAACTATCACTAATGTGAACAAGTGGAATAATTTAGAAACGTTAGTTAGAAAATTGGATGATGCAATTATTTATGTTTAATTATTCAGACTTTCCATTCTAATGTCAGCTCAAAATTTGACTTACGTTTTATTTGTATGTATTTACAAATTTGACAGTATCTGTATTTATGCATATATTTTGATTACACTGTTATAAAAATATATAAAGATATCAATAAAATTTGTGTACACACGCAACAATATGCTTCTTATGTGCGATATATCCTTTTCCGTTACTTTGATTTGTATGATTTATAAATTCGTAAGAAGTTATCAAGATTATAACTTTTTTTTTACATACGTATAAATATTTGTATTGTTTGGAACTAAATGAGCCCCTTAATTGATAAGTGGCATAAGTCCAAAATTAAGAAAAATGCGTTTGTTATAGAAGTAGAAAATATCAAGAATGTTTGTTTCATCTATTAATTTAATTTACTTTTATTTTGTTTTTATGTTCATAAAAAATAAAAATCAATTTTACATCATAAATAAAGTGACCGTAAAAAAAGCTGGACTTAAGTCACTATTCCAGTTTTTTTTTTGTAGTCACTTTATTTATGATGTAAAATTAATTTTGATATTTTATGGATATAAAAATAAAATAAAAGTAAATTAAATTGATAAATAAAACAAACATTCTTAATTCTTTCTACTTCTGCGATAAACGCATTTTTCCTAATTTTGGACTTATGCCACTTGTTAACTAAGGGGCTCAAATAATAATCTTTAAAAACGATGGAATAAATACATCTTGTTTTATTAATAGAGAATTTAACCGTCGTAAGAGAGAGGTTGACTTGGCGAACGTCCGAGTGTCCGATTGAGAACTCTCGGCCAATGTCAGCAAACACACTTCCGCAAGGTCGCTTATTAAAGTCTTCCTACACCAGTTTAATACATATGTACAACTAAGTTATACAATCAGATTTGATCATTTCTTTAAAAATCAATAACTTTATTACTAAAATCTATTTATAATTCGCGACGATTGAGAGGAAGGTTTACTGACTTCTCGTTTTATTATATTATTTTAACTCTTCTTACTAATTTAAATTTTTTATGGAATATTTAATTTTTAGAAACTGAAATATAATATTTAAAAAATTGTTAAATTTTAAATGTAGACAGAAATTATAATTATATAAAACTTGTAAGATTTGATAGTTCTTATAATTAAAAATTTTTAATTCTGAAATTTAAAATTTGATGAGCTGGATTGTTTTTATCTCCTTAAAATTTTACAAAGGTAAATTAAAAATATTGAAAATATTGAAAATATTCTTGTAATTTTCTTGAGCAGAACGAAAAATAGAGCACTGCGAAAAATTAAAAGAACGTAATGTCTTTCAAATTCGCATTTCTCCAATAAAAATCTATACATGCATTTTTCCATCGATCCGTCGTCTATATTTACACGTGAGGTCGGCATCGCAGCCACCTCCGTGTCCCACTCCCGTCACTTTGGTAGCAGCGTTGCGTTGTGGTCACGCCATAGTCATCATAAATTTCGGCCACGGTAGCTAGGAAATATTTAAAGTCTGGCGCGTGCAAACGTCTATCTCTGACGCGGTCTGAACGGGGAGCCACTATTCCGCCGTCCATGTGATTCGTAAGGACCAGCAGGGACAGGGACGTTGGCGAGCGGCGACTGCGGCTGACTGTGGCGAGGTCGAGGGGAGCAACCACGCGAACGTTGCAACCAATCCGCACACTTGGCGTTTCTCGGTCGTGGAGTGCGGATGCCGTGATCGTCTGCCACTACTTGCCACTATTGCCGCGATTCCAAGTACACGTCGAGTCATCCATAAAGTTGACGACCGCCTCCCCAACACTAGCCATGTCGGTGATCTACAAGAACTCGATGAATGTCATCGGCAAGTTCGTGCCTGAGAAGCTGCAGCCTCTGTGGAAACATCCAGCTGGTTAGTAAAGCGGTCGATCACTGCGTCGGGTCAAGCAGGTGGCACGTGTCGTGCACGAGTGTGTGTGTATATGTGTAATAGATTGATTGTGAGAGAAATGCGCCGGATGTGACCATGTGACGTGATTTTCTAGATAAATAATGTTTTCCTCTCCGTGATTAGCAGAGATTAGTGACCTAATGTACTACTTTGTATTTAATTTTCTGTTCTGGATCAATTGTGGTATTTTTCAATTTCGAATTAATCACGGTAATTAATCGCAAGTTAATTATTATTAATATTTGCTATATATACATTTATATTTATTGATATTTATCGCAGCCATGATAAGTTAGTACAACGCGGAAATGTTTTCGTCTTTAGTTTTATCTCGGTTTATCAGTCAGTGACGCAAACATCTTTTCCGCATATTGATATCGTACAACTTGGCGACTTGCCGACGACAGAACGCGAATAGCGAACACTGCTCTTTATAATGCAGTCTTCTCGAGGTCGCATTCTTTAAGTAGTTCGCGTATCTACAATTTGAATTAATGAATGTTCCACTTGTTTTCATTTCCATACCATGATTTATCCTTATTTCACACATCGTATTTTTCATGTCATTCAAGTTATTCAAGTTAATCGAGACGCGCGAAGCTCATTCGATTTTGCGATATTTTCAAACTTGGAACTACTCAAAGACATTTAACATTTGTAATCTTATTATCATACATCACGATTAATCTATAACGCCTATCTATAATATTAAACAGGCACTCGTTCGAAAGGATCGGAAGGAAGATAAACGAAGATTACTGACAAAGATTACTGATAAATAGTTACGATAAAAGAATTATATCAGATTAGAGAAATCGATAGCGTTAAATTAATCTTGTTTTATATTATAATATGACATAGAAATATATGTGTGAACTTAGATTAATTCGATACCACGACTTTCTTGTGAGTTTATAAAACGTTTACTAGCATTAATAATATATGAATTATAATTAAATTGTACATTTAACTCTATATTACTCGCATGGTTTTTTTTATCACAATTACTCGCGTAGGATGTTTCTGACATTCAACATTATATATTAATTTTCATTGTTCTCTTTGATGATATACAATTAAATACAAATTTTTTATATTCTTATTATTATAATTAAATAAAAATTTATAATATATTTCATACATTTTTTATAAAAACATAAATACAATTTTTACAATTTTAAAGTAACTTGCGATAAACATAATACTATATATAAATAGTATTTATATTTAGCGAATTTATAAGGTGGAAATATCCCACACGAATAAATGAATGGTTAAAATGTGAGATATATTAGCTTTGATACAAGGCTACATTTCAAGATCGAATAGTAAACGACATATGAGCAAAACAAAATTATTATTACAAGATCCCAAGCCTGATAATTGAGGCTGTCGGTATTTATTTATTCTACAAGTTCTATCTAGGTGTCCTATTTTCCAACGTGCTTTCTCGCGTAGCTGCTAGATTGGGCGATTGTACCTTCACCGAATTGTAATGGATGGAAACGAGGCCGCGCATCATGTCTGTGTTAAAGTCGAATTTACTCGAAACTATCAGAGCAGAAGCTTTAATAGATGGAGTGAATAGAGTCAAGGACATTCACGCTACAGCGGGGATGCACCAATAACTAGTACTGACGCATTTTGATTACCTATTTGATTGCGGTGGGATTCTGAAGTCGGCTCTTTTTGTTCTATTTATTTTTCTTTTTTTTTTTGTATTTTTTATTTCATACTAAATACTACGAACATCGAGCTTGAATAAATTGTATGAAAGATATAAGTTGATTGAAAAACAAGCTGACTGTAGATTTAACGTAAACATAATCGATCTTTTCGAAGCCTTGCATTATTATATTGCACTTTTCCGAAAATAAAACAAATTCGTTATGTATTTCTCCAATCACTGATACAACAATTCTTTTATTGCGACAATTTATTGGCAATCTTTACTTAATTTCTTTCAATCCTTTTGAACGAGTGCCTGTAATTCATGTCTATTGCGTGTCTTTTTTTAGGTCCACAAACCATCTTCTTCTGGGCACCGGCCTTCAAATGGGTTAGTAACAATGTTTTATTTCCCCATTATTTGATATTGCCGTGTCGTAATTCTGATAAGTTAATTAAGTAATAAATTAATGGGAAAGATCTTGGAACACTAAACGGCATTACATAAACACAGAACACAAATAGAGTTTTATTTCATAATAAATGTCTTCATTTTGAAACTTTCCTTTATGCTGAGAGAAATGGTTTTCTTGTACCAACAAGAAGTAGAAACAAAATGAATTTTGATCGTATGAATCATTAACCATTCTGGTTAACGTGATTAAATTTCTGGTTATCTTGAATGTTTGTTTTAGATTTAGTTATAAATAAAATTGCATAAGTGTTTGAATTGTACTTTTGTGATTAGAATCTGCCAGAATTCTAATTAAGAGAAGTAGTAGCGAGACTATTTCAGTTTTAAAATACAATTCACTCTTATTTTCTTAGAATTTTTTAAATATCATCGTGAAATATCAAGTGATTGAATAATAGATTGCGTGTAGGTACACAATTTTGCTTCAAGGTAGTTGCGTAATGTATGTTGGCAAACAGACATGTTGCAGGAATACTCCAAATGTTACGTTCATTCATATTATAATCATGTTGCATGTTAAATAAATATGTGGCAATTTTTAGAAACAAACATGCATTTTATTTTTTTAACAAAATTTTTATTGCGTTTAAAATCTAGTTTTATTGAACATTTATTTTAACGAAATATGAATTTTATATATTGCACTATAAAATGCAAAAATAAAATAAATATAAATAAATATAAATCCCATAATATATACATATATTACAAAATATAGAATGATTTATTTCTGTACGTTGATTTTATAGTGGAAATATTTATTTATAAAATATATTTTTTATAAATTTTCATTTTTAGTTACATATGTCTACACAAAAAGATAAAATTGAAATCAAAACAATCAAATTTAAAGCAAATGTGCCGTATTATCTTAATGTTTAAGACTGCAAACGATTTTTATTTTACATACATGCGCATATATTGTGTATACACGTGCGACATGCGTAAAGAAAAGATAATATTGATGTGCCCCAAAAGATATTATGTAAATCGCTTTTTCTACAATTTGTAGGGTCTTGTAATCGCCGGCCTCGGTGACTTACAGAGGCCAGCGAACAAAATCTCCGTCAGCCAATCTTGTGCCTTGGGCATCACGGGGTTAATTTGGACCAGATACTCCTTAGTCATCACCCCGAGAAACTGGAATCTCTTTAGCGTAAACCTCTTCGTCGCGTTTACGGCTATATATCAAATAACGAGAGCCCTGAGGTAATTATTTTGACGCAAATTTCAGGTTACACCGTAAAATTGCATAAAATTCATCTAACAGATTCACGCTTCGATATTTTCGTTTCTACATTTTACGAATATTTCTGTTACGCTATTGTTATCTTTTAAATTTCTCTTTAAATTTCTCAGAGAAGCGAGTGTTCGATTATTTTATAAAATAAAAATATTGTTTCTACAGAATTCTCTTAAAGCTGTCGCAGAAATTGATTAAACGAGTCTGTCAACATTTTCCTGTTTTGCTTATGACTTCTCGTATAATTTATCTCGTTTGATATTGCGACTTTGGCTTCAGCTATTTCTCGAGGACTTTATCGAATTAATATTTGTCTCAGATATCAACGCCAGCAAGCAGCTTTGGAGGCAGCGAAGATGATTCCGTCAGATGCTGCTCACTGACGATAACTACAAGTATAGATATACATTCCTAGGAAACGAAAAAAGGAATACTTAATTCTTCGCTACTTCGCGTTTCGTGAAACGTTTATGTTACCATTTAGCACATCGGGACGAGTAGTAGTGACGTTTAGCGTATCTGACCAATATGTCTTAATGACGAACAAAAAACTGGAAAGATAGATCGGTGATACATATAATATATACAACTCGAAATATTTAAAAATTACAAAGTTGTACAATTACGTTCGATCGAGCTCGTAGCACGAAATCTTTAATGAAACAAATTGATATCGTCTTGAATAACTCTAACGAACACCCAGGGATGCGATCAGTCTCACTACAAATGCTTTGAATTATTAATGTAATTGATCAATCAGAAGAAAGAATTTTACTAATTAAAGAATACTTCAAAGCATTGTAGCATCGCGTTGATCGTGTCTCAAATTAAGTAATGTCTCATGACTTTTCAAATGTCTTTGTGATATCTATTAGACGTTCGGTCGAAAAGAACATAGCGAATTTTACGTAAGGTCGATTGACTTTCTTGGTGCCAAACTGTGATATATATGACGCACGATATGACATTCATTTTAGATGCTGTACGATAAATAAATATTGTACACTAGATAGATAAAAAGTACAACTACACAGGGCACAGAAGGAATGGAGTCGAGAATGATCGGGTGTAACGGATGGATTTGACGCATCGTATGGAACATATGGCGCGCTATCAATCCATTGATAACACCTGATTGTACCTACGTGTTTGATCGTTGTGCACCACGTGCGTTCTACCTCGAGACGTAACGATGCTCACGATGCGTTTCTGCATGACATATCGACGTTACGTAATATAAAGTGTTATATGTGTCAATATCGTAACATTTTAATTAATATTATTGTAACTGCCTTGCCCCAATCAAAGTTAAAATAAAATTACAAGTATTTTTAACGTCACTGCGTTGTGAAATAATAAACAATCGACCGTACTCGAGGGTGACGTAATTCCCGGTAGTAAAAAATATTTGACATTGGACATAACTGTACAAGTGTTACGGATAATTCTCACATTATCGGGCAGTAAAATGGCGTTTACACTTGGCCTTCGAGACGTGGAACCAATGTCGCGCTTTAATAACAAGAATAATGTCTCGTATCCTTATTGAATGTAAAACACAGATGTTTTGTTGGCATTGCCAATCGAAGAGTCAAAGAAAGGTAGAGATCTCGTCTGATTAATGGATTTCATCACGCTTTAGTGACAATGCTGATGTTATTATTCGGCAGGTTTGTCACGAGGATTAAGAAGACTTATTACGGGAGGAATTCAGATTCTACCAGTGTCACGTAGTTATCAAGCTTACAAATTCACGCGTTATCGATTGTAATTAAATTTCAATTATCCATTTTCCAATTATCCAAATTTTATTAACCTATTTTGCTACTTAAATCCGTGCTGTCTTGGGTACATTTCTTTTTATTTGAAAGATATTCATAAAAAGGGAGATATTGCGGAATAAATCAAAAGTTATTATTATTTATTAATATCCTCACAGTTTCATTCCCCAAAGGGGATTTATAATTTTCAACTTTAACTTGCTATTATAAACTCAATTAAAATTTTTTTATATTATCGATTTTAGAGCCAAGATTATATGCTTTGAAAGCGTAATTTTTATCACAAATAATAAAGAATTTTTGTCACAAATTAAAACGGTGCATTATAAATAAAAGGCTGCAATTTATTTTCTTAGATTACCTTCCTTTTAGAAGACACAGTCAACATAAGTTTGTTTTTTTTTTTTGTTATTCATTGAATGTCAAGGATAGAACGACATTTGTGTCGACTTGAAAGAAAAGCAGTTTATATGCATGTATCTTTTAAAAAACGAGCTACTCCGAAGAATAGTAAAATAAAATAAGATACATCCATCAATATATTATAGACAATATAGACGCTACGTATTGCCGACATTATATGCAAGAGGGGCTTACCCTCTCTAAATTTTAATAAAAAGAATCAAATTATGAGAATTTTTACGATGAAAAATTTAATGCTTATTGCTTTATTCGTGTCTCACGCGTTATTCATATGAAAATTCGTTGAAGATTTTCGAAGTCCGATTATAATTTTAATGTTTTATACGAAGATAAATTTTTCCGATTAAAATCTTACGCTCATAATTATTTGTAAAGAAAAAGTTGAAAAAGAAATAACACGATATTACGTGTATAAAAGACATGATAAATTTTCGCCTGATCCCCGTTATCAATCTTCGCCGTTATATCGGCAAACTTCAGATCTATCAAATTCTCTCGGCGTCGCGTTGTACAGTGCATAGTAACATTCTATTGGGTTGGTCAAAAAGTTCGTGCCACTTTTTACTCAAAATTATACATAGAATATATTTGTTATTGTTATTATACCACTCAATAGAGCAAAGTTTTAGCTTTAAAAATTGGTTTATTAAATTGCGATACGATTTTTAGCGAAGTTATGAGCAAAGTCAAAATGCTCCTTTTATTTAATTCGCGATAACTTAGTAACAAAAAATCTTAGGAACATTAAAAAAACGATTTTATAAGGAAAACTTTAAGCTTTCACTTGGATGGAAAACCGAAAATTTTCGCAAATTTTTTTTTAAGCAAATGATAGACCCGAAGTTAGAAGAAAATTTTCCATTTTTTCAACTCGTTGTTTTCTGTATGTAAAAATGATCGAACTCACAGAAACTCAAAAAACATACTAACCTTTCGAAAATAGAGATTTCAAACTTTAAAACCGTTTTTTAATTTAAATTTCGTTTATTTTTGACGAAGATATTGTAAATAGATATTGTAAATAAGATATTGTAAATAGTTTTGTGCTTAAAAAAAACGGCATGAACTTTCTAACCAACCCTATATATCCCCAGCTAACACAAAGTTACAATTAACGGGTACGTTACATGTAACTTTGTATTAGCTGGGTCAATTTTGTCGCATTATCCGTCATTTTCAGGTCAATAAATATGGCTTTCACCACAAATTGAAATTATCTGGATAAGTAGCACTTATTACCTAAAAAAATCATCTTGCGCATTATCTCATCATCGATCATTGTAGCTTGATTTTTGCGCGGCGGCCACGCACTGTAATTTGTGAGGGAGTCGTTCCCGGAAAGAAATGTTTCATATATAATTATCAGGGAATGGAAGTAACTCGTTACTTGTAATGAAGTTACAGTTATAAGTTACTTTTTTGGTAACTTTACTAATAACTGCGTTATTTTTTTTCTTTGGTAACTGTAACGGTAACAAAGTTACATTTTTTTGGTAACGGTAACGAATTTTACAGTTA